ATATAGTAAATAAAATTCATAATTTGATCAGTTCTTTTTCTTTGTTTAAGAAACTACAGCTTTGTTTATTTTCCATTCTGAATAAAAAGATTTTTAAAGTGGTCTCAGACGCTTAGAGCCCACTTTATATTTTAAAGCTTTTATAAAGGCAGGTGTAACAGCAAGTATTAAAGATCATGAATAGTTCAGCAGAAAGCGAGGTGATTGTCAGGATAAAGCACTTGGCAGCTTGAATATGATTTGTCATTCAGAAACTGACATTTCAGCCATTAGCGCAATATGGTACAAAAGCCACTGATACTACGCAGTGAGCTGGGAACCAGACGTTATTAAACACTTTTCTTGACAGTCGCTCTCTCTGTATCTCTCTCGTCCTCAGACAGACACTCACACATTAGTTCTCTTTCTAAAGCAGGTTAACACCATTTTTAACAGCCGTTATTCTCAGGAGTGCAAACCACTCACACTAAAAGCCTGTTACTCCTGAGTTCATTAATTTCAGCCGCTGTACTGGGATGTGGGTGTGTTTGTGAATAGAGTATGTGTTCATTCATAATTCATCATCTCTCTTGAACATTGACTTTACTGGCATGTATTGATTTTGACCTTAGATTCTGTTTTTTGGACATGTACTGCAGATAGCATTCAGAAAGTGGTGGGAATGAGATCGGGAAATGGTTTAAGCTGGATTTGAACTCACAAAACCCAACTGAGCACCACATCTCAATAAGTCAGAACACATGTGCAAACAACAAAGCCACAGCGTCTCCCACTTTTATCAGGCCAAGAACACAATAGAAAGAAATATTATTTTAATGTAGTATAAAACTAATGTTTTCTTATACATGCAATATGCTGTTATTGTCTATTCTCTGGTCTAATTGGTTAATTCAGTCTAATTCTCTTTGATTGGTGCAGTTCCTGTGTACGGTGGTTGCAATTCTGCTCCATTACTTCTTTATGTCGGCATTTGCGTGGCTGTTCGTGGAAGCTCTTCATATTTACCGTATGCAAACAGAAGCGAGAAACATCAACTATGGAGCAATGAGATTCTATTATGCTATTGGCTGGGGAGTCCCTGCTATCATTACAGGTGTGTAAACACACACACACACACACACACACACACACACGTGTACTTTCAGGCTGTTATGCTCTGTGACATATATGTGTGTTGCAGGGTTGGCTGTTGGGTTGGATCCAGAGGGGTATGGCAACCCAGATTTCTGCTGGATCTCCATGTACGATAAGCTCATGTGGAGCTTTGCAGGACCTGTTAGCGTCGTCATCCTGGTATTTTGCTCTTCAGTGTGTTTGTGTTGTTTGTGCCATTTATGTGTTTTTATGTGTCTTTGTAATTTTCTATCTGGATGTGTGAAGTACTGCAATGATTGTCTAAACTGACAAAAGCTCTCTCTGTTTACAGATGAATGGTGGGATGTTTTTAATGGTCCTGCGTATGACATGTAACCCCACTCAGAAGGAGATAAAGAAGCTGCCCATGATGTGAGTACAACATGCATGTGTTCAGGAACAATCCATTTGGAAAGTGGGAGGGGAAACTTGAAAATATATCATCATGAATATTATTTAGGTGACCCCCATCATTTACTCACCTTCAAATTGTTCCAAACCTGTATGAAATTCTTTCTTATACTAAAAACAAAAGAAGATGTTTTAAAACCAAAGTGAGCATTTTTTCTTTAATCCCCAACCAAAAATGATTATATTATATTATATTATACATATACATATATTCCTATGTATGTCTGCACTATCATGTATGTCTGCACGGGAGAATCTCTTGGCACGGCAGACTCTAGAACACACTCTTGGTCACACAGGGGCCACTGACCTGGACGTGGCAATGTTTCACCGCAACGGAGGTACACTAACACACAATAACCTGCATGCATGTACGTATTCACACTTACACACACTCCTTAACTGCTTGCTGGTCATTCTTTACTGGCCAAATTCTAGTGTTTGTGACCGTCATGTCAGAATTAGTGTCATTTAGTTGATCTATTCTTCGGTTTGTCTGTCAGGTGAGGACTCAGACTCAGATTCTGATCTCTCACTGGAAGAGGAGCGGAGTTTGTCCATCCCATCATCAGAGAGCGAGGACAATGTGCGGCTGCGTGGACGCATCCAGCGGCGTTTCAAACGGTCTGGTCACGGCAAACGTTTACTCACAGAGCCCACACACAATGGTGGAAAAGGTACCAAAACTATTGTTGCAGTTGTCTATGTCACTGTTATTGAAGCCAGAGGAGTACAGAAAGTTAGTTTCATTCTTAGTTTTGTGATACCCAACTGTTAGTGTATGGAATTGTTTATGTGTCAGAGCTGGATGGCAATGACCTGCTCTCCTATTGGCCAGCGCTGGAAGGCTGCGAGGCACACTCACTGCAGAAATGGGGCTCAGAGCGCCGCCTAGGGGGCGACTACAACAAGGACGCAGCTAATAACAACCAGCCAGATGCAGCGCTGACCAGCGGAGATGAGAACGGACTCACACACAGACACCGCAAGGGTGAGGCACACATTCATTCAAAATGTTATCCAATATTGGCCAATAACAATACATTATGATATTTAATTGTGCATGTTTATTCCTTCTGTTTTTGCATTTAGATGCTGTCATCTAATGCTCACATAGAGTTAATCTTCAAAAACAAATTAAACAATGCTACACTATACTGGCTATTGGCTGATATCTGGGTTATTATTATTATAATTAACTAAAACTAAATTCATAGCAAGTGATGAAAAAATAAATTACATAAAAATGAACTGAAATAAAATATTTAAAAACATTAAACTTATTTTTCAGCTAGTTTCCTACGCAACATTGATTATTTTCATTGGTTTAACTTGATGTATTAAAATGAATAAAACTGCAATAAATATTAATAAAACTATGCTGATATGTTTATATATATATATATATACAGTGGGGGAAAAAAGTATTTAGTCAGCCACCAATTGTGCAAGTTCTCCCACTTAAAAAGATGAGAGAGGCCTGTAATTTTCATCATAGGTATACCTCAACTATGAGAGACAAAATGAGAAAAAAAA